TGGTGAATCTAGCTAAATGCTTTCAATTTTGTTTATTTTTTCGAAGAACCAGCTCTTAGTTTCATTCATCTTTTCTATTAGCTTTTTAGTCTCTATTTCATTTATTTCTGCTCTAATCTTTGTTTTTCCTCCCTTCTACTACTTTTGGGCTTCATTTATTCTTCATCTAGTTTCTTGAGGTGTAAAGTTAGGTTTTTACTTGAGATTTTTCTTGTTGTTTTTTTTTTAAGATTTTATTTATTCATTTGAGAGAGACAGACAGGGAGGATGAGCAGGGGGAGGGGCAGAGGGACAGGGACAGGGAGGGTAGAGGGAGAGAGAGAGGAAAAGCAGACTCCCCACTGAGCTGGGAGCCCAACATGGGGCTTGATCCCCAGACCCCAACATCATGACCTAAGCCAAAGTCAGATGCTAGACTGAGCCACCCAGATGCCCCTCTTGTTTCTTGAGGTAGGAATTTATCACTATAAACTTCCCTCTTAGAACTGCTTTTACTCTTAACTATAGAGAACAAACTGATGGTTACTGAAGGGGAGGTAGGCGGGGGGGATGGGCTAAATGGGTGATGGTTAAGGAGGACACTTGTGTGATGAGCATCGGGTGTTGTATGTTAGTGATCAATCACTAAATTCTACATCTGAAACTAATATTACACTGTATGCTAATTGAAATTTATATAAAAACTTGGAAAATGGGGTGCCTGGGTGACTCAGTAGTTTAAGTAGCCAACTCTTTTTTTTTTTTTTTTTTTTTTTAAGTAGCCAACTCTTGATTTTGGCTCAGGTCATGATCCCGGAGTCGTGGGATCAAGCCCCACGTTGGGCTCTGTGCTGAGCATGGAGCCTGCTTAAGATTCTCTCTCTCCCTTTGCCCCTCTCCCTGCATTTGCTTGCACTCTCTCTCTCAAAAAAAAGGAAAGAAAGGAAAAAATAACTGCTTTTGCTGCATCCCATAAATTTCAGTATGTTACATTTCCATTTTCATTTGTTTCAAAGCATTTTTTTATTTCTCTTTTGTTTGTTGAACCACTGGTTATACAATAGCATGTTGTTTACTCTCCACATGTTTGTGAATTTTCCAGTTTGCTTCATGTAATTAATTTCTAGTTTCATACCACTGTGGTCAGAAAAGTTGCTTGATATGATTCATTCCTCTTAAATGTATTTGTTTTGTGGCATATGATCTATCTTGGAAAATGTTCCATGTATACTTAAGAAGAATGTATATTCTGTTGCTTTTGGATGGAATACTCTGCATATATTATATCTATTAAGTCCATCTGGTTTAATGCATCACTTTAGGCCAATGTTTCCTTATTGATTTTCCGTCTGGGTGATCTACCCATTATTGTAAGTTGGGTATTAATGTCCTCTACTAGTATTGTATTGCTATTTTTCCTTTAGGTCTGTTAATATTTGCTTTATACATTTAGGTGCTTCTATATTGGGTACATATTTATAAATGCTGTATCTTCTTATTGGATTGACCCCTTTATCATTATGTAACACCTTTCCTTGTCTCTTACAGTCTTATTTTAAAGTCTATTTTGTCTGATAGAACTATAGCTATTCCCGCTTTCTTTTGGTTTCCATTTTAATGGAATATCTTCTTCCATCCCTTCACATTCAGTCTGTGTGTGTCCTTACATCTAAAGTGAGTCTTTTGCAGATAGCATGTTTTTTTATCCATTCAGCCACTCTGTCTTTTGATTGGAGAATTTAGTCCATTTATATTTAAAGTGATTATTGATAGGTATGTGGTTATTGCCATTTTGTTCATTGTTTACTGGCTGTTTTTACAGTTCCTCTCTGTTTCTTTCTTCTGTTGCCCTCTTCCTTGGCGGTGAGATGACTTTCTTTAGTGGTATGCTTACACTCCTTTCTGCTTAACTTTTGTGTATTTACTATAGTTTTTGCTTTGTGATTACACTAGGCTTATCTGTGACAACTTACATATATAACAGTTTAAGTTGATAACAATTTAATTTGATCCCATCCCTTTTTATAAAGGAGCCTTTTATATAATCCCAGTCATATTGGATTAGATGTCACTCTACTCTTAACTAATTTCATCTACAATGACTCTATTTCCCAATAAAGTCACATTCCAAGGTACTGGGGTTAGGACTTCAACATATGAATTTGTTGGGGACACAATTCAACCCATAACACATCCATTTCTCTCTTGTGATTTTAAGATCACTAAACAACCTTCTGATTCCTAGGATGGTTCCCCAAGGTACCCAGGATTTAGCAGTGAGAGTCCAGGAGAACATATATGAGTCTTTTGGTCACTAGAGATGAATGTTTCCATTGTGAACTGGCATTCCGTTCTTTCAAGAGTCTTCAATGAGCATGAATCAGTCCCTTGGAGCCTGGTCACTCTGGTTGTACTGACAATGTGACTTTTGGGGACTACACAATAGTGATGACCCCTCATTAGGCCCTTTTTGCAGAATTGGTTGACTTCTCTCTCTGACATTAATGTATCCTCTCTATAACTGCAATCTCTCTATAACTCTATCCATCTTAGAAGATTAAAAACAACAACAACAACAACAACAAAAACAGCTAGCAATGCTAGAAGATGTGCCTAGTGCACATCCTTTACCAGTTCTGTTTCTCAGCAATCTCCACATCCAACCTATTTCTAAGGCTCTAGGCCTGACATCCTCAGAAATGAAGGCTGTCATACTGTGTGCCCTCATTAAAAAGGGAATAGAGGTACCTGCTTCATAGGTGGAGAATCCCAGATATTTTGCCACAGATAATCCATTCTTTCACCAGCCCCATCTTTCCTGAACAACAGGTATTTTGAAACGGAGTAAACTTCTGAAAGTTAGTACTGCAGACCAAGGTAGATAGAGCTATCAACCCAGGAAAATACCCACCTGCCTTTACTACACTCTCTGGCAGGATAGCCCCCAATATCTTTTGTAACCTGGAACCTCCACTGAGGAGAAGGAAGGTCTTGATTTCAACTTCAACAAATACTCTTGTTTGCATATCCTTTTCTGGTTCCATCAAATATCTTGCAAGTCCTATGTCCATGGAGAGAACCCAAGGCTAAGACTTAAGTGGAGGTTCTTAGGGGCCCCAGACATTATCATAAACTAAGAAAACTGTTTTCTTATATTAGCTTAGACATTTTATCAATCAATCTCCTTGTTCTATCCATGGAAAGGATATCAAATGGCCTTAAAATGGCTCAGTTATGGTTGGTTAAATATATTATATGAACTCTGTGAACCATTAGCACTAACTCTAAGTTTGAGAGTTTTAGATCCACTCCAGCTTTCTTTAAAACTCAAAACAGAGCAGCCAAAACTTGAGTGCAATAAGATTTCCAAGCCCCATTGATGCCAGGTGCACTGAATACTAAGAGGCTACTCTTTAACACAGTATTTTTCAAATATCAATTTACTGGGTTGACACACTAATTTCATATCAATTTACTGGGTTGACATAAATTCACTAGGTCATGACTGGCATTTTTTAAATATAACAGTATAGGACAGTTATGCTGTATGCTTAAAATCAGTTATTTATTCTAAAATGTGTTTATATCAATTACATAAAAATGAAATGAGTGCAAAAAAAGAAAACTCAAAACAAAGAAATTCTAAAACCAGACATGAAAAATGACATAAAAATGAAGTTGAATGCTTTGAAAAAAGATCGCTAAAAAATAAATAAGAAAATAAGTAAGTCCTAAAAACTGATGCAAATTAGTTACAAGCTAGAAAACTGTAAAAGATGAGGAAAGAAATGATAAAGGCTAAAAGAACTCCGCAGTAATATTGTTTTACAAGTGCCTTAAGCTCTCTCTACCACTATAGAAAAGCAAAGGTTGGAAATCTTAAACCCAAAATATCAAGAGTGGGGCTTATATAAGAAAAACAAGGAGTATTTCCAATCAGCAGACCCACACAGTGAGTCCAACACCAAAAATTGGAGAATGAACATAAAATTACACGTTTTAAGTAAAAATAAAAAGTTTAAGGCTTAAATTGTCTTGTAAGTCTACACCATACATGTTAAAAGGACTCATATATTTTTAAATTTTGGCTAGTCCTTAGAATATGATGAAATAGAATTTGAATGTTATAAACTCACCTCACCTATCAACAAAGGAAGGAATCACAAGGCACACCTTTAATGTATCAAAGAATGTAGTCAGATGACTAGAGTATAAGACAATATGATCAGAGCAAAGTACAGAAAAAAATAATAGTCTCACATCAGGAAGGACTAACCATTTATGAGCTAAAGATTTGAAATCAGCGCAGATAACTAGTTTTCTATAATGCTTTCCTGCCTCCTCATTCTTACTGTCCTCTTGCCCCACTAGAACTGGTTACACCTTCATATCCCACTGGCTGCTGTGTTTGTCTACTCAGGGACCTACCAAAGCCTCTAAGATAATTCCCTATACATCATTGTTTATATATGCATGTCCATCATCAAGACACCAAGCTCCTGGAAGATAAAGGACCAGGTCTTGTCTTGTATTCCCAGCATCAGCCTGAGGCTTGACACTTGGTAGGTATTCAGTAAAATTTTTTTTAAAGATTTTATTTATTTATTTGGGGGGGGGAGGGGGAGAGCACAGAGGGAGAGTGAGAGGGAGAAGCAGACTACCCGCTGAGCAGGGAGCCCAATGTGGGGCTTGATCCCAGGACCCTGAGACCATGACCTGAGCCGAAGGCAGACACTTAACGGACTGAGCCACCCAGGCGCCCCAGTATTTAGTAAATTTTTGTTGAATGAGTGACTATGCACATATAAGTCAAGGTGTTGTCCTAATTTTCAATAAAAATGGAAGGTAACTCAGTTTGAAGTAAATTGTAAATTTGGCAATTAAAAAAAAGGGGGTTACAGTAATATAAGCAGGAGGGCACTGGTGCATTTTTAAGCTCAAAAAGAGAATCACTGGAAAGGTCAAAGTTCACTAGACTTTTACAGCTTGGTTGAAATAACCATTAAAACCATTCTACTCACGTTGCCTTGACTCTGGATTTAATATGAACCCTTCTTTGATTTTGGTTCCCTGTTTGAGATCTTGACACTTCAAAGGAAGTCCCCCTAAATAGTCAAGACAAGATTCTGGTCACTGAAAAGGAAATGTAGAAACATTGTATGTCTCTAGAGTAGAGACAACTGATAAGTTGATATTCTAGCACAAATCAGAAAAGACTGGCTGGCCTGGGAAAACAATGGAGGGAAACTATTGCTTTATTCTTAGGTTTGTCCCTCCATCTCTAAATACCCAAAATATGGTCATTTTTATTAGCTAAATTACATAAACAATTAAAGTACTTTTCCTGAATAACAGTGTAATACATACTGACTGTAGAAAAGTCGCAAAGGACTAAAAAGTATAAAGCAAGAGAAAAAAACAAAACAAACATACTCATAATCCTACTACACCAGGGCATCTACTCATTTGGCACATACACTTCCAATTGTCTTTTTTGCAGTTTTCTTTATATAGTTGAGATTACTATACATGATGCCTTTTTATGGTCTTAAACTAACAAGATAAATTCTCATATTAAGTTTTCTTCTATTTACCCTGCCCCGTGAAGAGTTTTCCTTTTCCATAACTCCAAATTTTCTAGAAAAATCTCTCTCTAGATAATAAAATCAGTGAGATTTTATTAATCAATCAAAAATGTTTATTGAATAAAGCCATGTACAATGTATCAAGCTGATATTGAAATAAACACACAGAAATAAAAAAGTGACTGTTTAAAGAAATTAAAAAGCAGGCTGAGAAAACAAACCATCTGTACACAAAGAAAACTTGTCAAGTAACCCCTGTTTAATGAGTTAGGTGATAAAGGGGTACAGAACGGGGGAATACCAAAGGTAGCTTAGAAGTAAGTGGGCACTCTGGGCTCTGACAGATAAGACTAGATAAACTCTACATGAATCCTTTCACTTAATCCCCCAGTGAACCTTGTGAGGTGGATACTACTATTTCTCCATTTTACAGCAATGGGAACTGCACTGCAGGGAAATACATAATTTGACTCAAATCATAAAGCTAATTAGCGGTGGAGCTGAGATTCAGCCAGTCTGTCTCCAAAGTTGGGCTCTTAACACTGCCTTCTAGGAGATGTCCAAGGCTTAAAAGAGACTGAAGAGTCAAAGAGGGGGAAATGTCCAATCAAGTGGTAGCGGAAAGGAAAGGAGGAACTTGCAACCTATGGTTGAGAGTAGAGAATAGGCAAGAAGGGGTAAACAGATGCAATATACATCACTATGTAATGATAAGCTTCCCAGGAGATCACCATGGGCAGGAGAGGAATGAAGGCAAGTTGTGTCTCTACCAGTCTTGTTTGTTTCTACCATTCTTTAAGATGCTCAGTACTCGGGGCGCCTGGGTGGCTCAGTCGGTGGGACCTCTGCCTTTGGCTCTGGTTGTGATCTCGGGGTCCTGGGACAGAGTCCCGCATCGGGCTCCCTGCTCAGCGGGGAGCCTGCTTCTCCCTCTGCTCATGTGCTCTCTCTCCCTCTCTCTCTCAAATAAATAAATATTAAAAAAAAAAAAAAAAAAGATGCTCAGCACTCGGGTCATTTTGGAAGACGGGGTTTCCCTGGGGACTTCCTGCCTCACCTCCAGGTAGCCCTGACCCTTCACCCCACTAATGCCTAGAGGTTTGGGGAGATGGGGTTCCTGCAACAAAGACCCTCATCCTTCACGGCCGCTCACTCCCGCTCACATACCTCGGTACATGCTCGCACTCACACACACCTTCTGCCTGGAAGAGAGAGCCCCCCCCCCCCCCCCCCCCCCCCCCGCCCCACGACTTCCTCTGCAAGCTTCCAACGTGGGGCCCACAGAAGCGAAGAGCTCACGTTCAGAACCAGGAGCGCCTGGGCCGGATGGGTGGGGGAATCGGGCCGGAGTCGCACAGGAACCCCGACCATCAGGCTCCCGCCCCTCGGATCCGAGCACCAGCAGTGCGAGGCGCTCTCGGCCCCCGCCTGCTACCCGAAGCACAGCGTGGCCGCGCTCCACTCGGCAGCCCACGCCTAACGAAGGGGCCGAAGCACAAGCGAAGCTGCCCCCGCGGGCCGCGGCGCCCTCCGTCGCCGCCCCTCCTTCCGGGTTTCCGCGCGGACTTCCGCCGATCCCCGGGCCGCCCCCGGCCCCCGGCTGTGCCCCCAGCCCCCCCGGACGCGCGGGCCCAGCGGGGCGGCGGCCTGGCGGCGGGAGCCGAGCCCGAGTCCCGCGGGCAGCGCGGGAAACGGAGCTCGACGCCCCTTCCGACGTCAGGAACCGCTCGTCGGCCCCGTCGGACGCCCTCCCAGGGCCCGGCTTTGGGCGGCGTGCCCCCGGCAGGGCAGGGACGCGCGGCGGGCGCGGGCGGGGCGCGGCCACCCTCTGCCCCGCCCCGGCCGCGGGCGCACCGCCCCGAGCGCCCTGGCCTCGCCCCCTGCGGCCCCTCCTCGAGCCCCCTCCGGGTCCCCTTCCACCCTCCTCCCGCTCGGTTCTCTTCCCCTCTCCCCCGAGCCCTGTCCCCTCCTCCTCCCCCGAGCGCTGGGCAGGGAAGGGGCCCCAGGCGGAGGAGCGGACCCCTACCTCCCCAGGTTGCTGGAAGCTATGGAACTTGGGGCGCCGGCCGCGCAGCCGGCTGCGTCCCGGAGCTTCTGGACCCAGAATCTGTAAACGCAGCCAGTGACACTCGCCCAGCAGGTTAAAGGCGCGGAGTTGGCTTTCCAGGAGGCTCTTTTGGCAAATTAAGCTTTTCACACGGGTGGCTCCTTCCTTAGGACCTGGGGAGGTAAGGCAAGACTGCGCGCAGCTCCTTAGAAGAAGTGTTTGGACGCGGAAGGGGCTTAGTGGCCCTGAGGCGCGATGGAGAGTGGGCAAGATTTTAGGTAGAAGAGCAAAAGTCAGACCCAGCTCGCCCGTGTCCGGCCCTCTACAAGGGGATCTAGGCCCCCTTGACTTTCCTTCCTGTGCCTTCCAGGCCCTTGGCTTGCCAAAACCATCTTCAACGCCTTTCCTTGGTGGTCCTCAAGGCTTCACTGGAGAACATTAGAGCCAGTATTTCAGGTTGAGGGAAGGGGATTACACCACCAAATCTTAGAAATTTAGAGTCAACGTTCTGATTTGACCCAAAAAGCAAAACGATGTGCTCAAAAAATAGAATAAAAGTCAGATGGAAGTACAGAAAGATGGTCGGATCTAGAGTAAAAAGATAGGCTTAAATCTTGGCATTACCTCTAGCTAGTTTTAGGTCTTGAATAAGCCAGTGAAGCTCTTTGAGACCATTTCTTCTTCTATAAAATGGAATAATAATCCCTACCCTCGGTGTTGTAAGGAAAAACAGATAATGCATGACAGTGTAAACTATAAAATGGTATACAAATGTAAGCTATTATGTCTTCAGAGATTTTTGGCCTAACCCAAGGAGAAAAAGAAACAAGATAGCTTAAACTTGACTTCCAACAACACCACAATGAAAGCCACATTTCCCAACACTGTTTTAGCCATGCTTTGAAGGAGACCCCAGGAACCTGTGAGACTGTCACAAAATTTTTGCAAAATTGTCTTAACCAGGATACTTGTATTTTACCATCATTAAAAAAAAAACAGCTTGTCATTTAATACATCTGAGAAGAGGGAACATTATGAATCAAAGACAGAGTGTCAAAATAGTGAAAAAGTAGATAAAGACTAGGAAATATTCAGTTAAACCAAATAAAAGAGGTCGTGTGTTGTTTTACTACAGAATTCCTCAGAGCCTTGGGTGTGCATACTGTGACTCCAAAGAGATTCCCCGGAATCAGCACATCAGGCTGATGGATCTGTAAAGAAATGCACTTGAACACCCCGCCTGTCCTTTATTCACATCTTTATCACAGACAGACTGAACTAATCCATGCTTGGGATTTCTAAGCTTTAGAACCTGAGGCAAATCATTGCAATTTCCCTCTTCTTCATCTGTAGCCAAATGCTTGCAAAGAATTAAACCTCATAGATTCATTAACTAAGCTTTTATTGAGCGCCTGGGTGCCACGCCTAGCACAGGGCTATTGGTACACAAGCGCTTCAAGCAAGTAAAACCTTCAGCCCTTGAGTTCCAATCACAGAAGGAGACAAACACAAATAATGAAGTGACAATGCACTTGGCCATTCACTTTGAACAGCTGTCAGTTGAGCAGAGGTCTGGTCTCAAACTCCAAAGCCTACCGAGAAGAGCCAGGGAATATAAAGGCGAGGGGCTGGGACTGCAGAACGGGAGAAGACTGGCCTGCTCTGTAGGCAGAAACACCATGAAGCGTGCACTGTTTGTTGTTAGGGAGGACCACGTTACTACATCTCCCAATCTTCCAAGAGAAGCCGGAAATCTGGATTCTGGGAAATCACCTCATTTCTAAATGATGTCAGCTAGTTAAGACTTTTAAAAAAACATTGCAGGACCATCAAAACTCATTTCATGTACTGCCGGTTTGTAACTTCTGGCCTGCAGTGACCCATGTCACCAAAAATTATTCAAAAGTGTGACAAGAACACAAGAAGTTTGAGAAACACTGCTTTGTAGCTACTATCAATAAAGGAAGTATAAGTGCCAGGTCATATTCAATCTTCATGACATGGAGAAATATTTATAATGTGCATAATAGGTGATGGTCTTATTACTGTTTTGATTGTAATAACCTATGTGAATAAGTCATTAGGATACTGTACCTCAGTTTATCCATCAAAAAACAACAACAAAAACTTGGCTTTACCTTGGTAGCAAAAACCTAAATTTTCCAAAACAAAGTAAATAGAATAGAAGTAGTGAGGGGAAACTGCAGGTTTGCTGAATCCAAAATATTGTTTTATAATCCCGTTCCTCTAGATTCTCAAAATACTTGAGTTTGGGGAGGAATTGTGGTACACACATACTATATTTATATATAGTATTTATATATAGTATTTATAGCTACCCAGTACACTTTGCATTTGTTTTGCCAAACATGTCACCCAACTATAGTTTTTTTGTTTGTTTTTTGAGGGCTGGAGTTGAAAACAAAGATGCTGAAGGATTTCCTAGTTTGGCTAAGATTACCTCAAGAAGAAACAAATAGTTGATTAATTTGATCTCCCCTATTTCTCCGACTGCTATTTCTCACTCTTCATAGAATCCCCTCTCTCCTTCCTTGGGTTATTAAAAGTTAACCCTCCCCTTCTTTCTCTTCTTCCTGGAGAGATTATTCATGCCCACAGCTTCTTTTATCATATGGACACTGGGACTCCCAAGTCTGTTGCTCAGGCCTAGCCCTCTGTCCTGAATCTAGGTCAATGTGTCCAAAGACCAGACATCTCTGAAAGGATCCCACAGATCCCTCAAACTCATCATGTGAATAACAGAAGACGGGGCAGCTGGCTGGCTCAGTCAGTAGAGCATGCGACTCTCAATCTTGGGGTTGTGAGTTCAAGCCCCACGTTGGGTATAGGGATTACTTAAAAATAAAATCTTTAAAAAAATAAATAACAATACATCACCTTTACCCTAAAGCCCACTCTTCTTCCTCTATTCCTATCCTTGGTTATGATACCAGTTACCTATGCTAAAAACTTAGGGCTTACCATAAGCTCCTCTTGTTCCTACACCCCACCCCCCAAATCAAGCCTGCCATCAAGTTGGATCTTAGCAGTTTGCTATCTCCTCATTACCTTCACAATCTACTTGGTTTAGTTCACCTCTTATCTGGACTTTATTAGGATAAGGTTGAAAATACCATGCCCTGCCAACAGGACCCTCTACAACTGACCCCTCTTTAGCCTCACTTGTCACTGCTTCACCCCTTGCATGTTATGCTCCACTAAAAACTATCAGTGTTGGGCTAATGTTGATGGGATCCAAATGTTTGCAACTCGGCATCTTTGTCAGCCTCAAGCCTTGACTCAGACCCCAGTTTCCTTACAGTGGGCAGTAAGCAAACCAGAGAGAAGTGCAGAATGCCAAATCACCGGAACAGTCTCTAGGGGACCCCTCCTAAAATAGTGAGCCCCCACCACAGTGTCCTTGGGATGCCTTTACAGGTCCCCTTGCCTGCCTCTGCCTAGTAGATCCTTGACTCACTGAACAACTTCACCCCCACTTTCCTCAGCCACCTTGCCTGTCGTCCTCTTGGACCTTAGGAATGCTAATGTTTGCTAATAATGAACACACATGTATCCCCAAATGTTGCTGCCAGGGTCATTGTCTTATCTTGGAAAAAATTGCCCCAACTAAGAGGGCCCGGTTTTCTCCTACAGGCCCTTGTCCGTTCTGCTTCTGCTCCCAGCCGATCACAGGTGGACTTTTCTTCGTAGGGAGGAGGGACCCCACCGAGCCATTGGCCCAGGCCAATGGACATTTCTCATCTTCATCAGAGTCCATGGCTCCATGGATAGTGTTGGTTAGGATGAGGCTAACTTGGGCATTCGTGGTTTTCAAAACTAAGTTTATTAAAACAAAAAAAATAAATTAATTAATAACAACCCGTCCTCATATAGCTTCAGCTGCAATTTAAGGCTAGAAGTAAGAAAATCCTAACGTTCTTAACAACAAAATTTATTGGGGTTTTCAGCGGGTGGGAAGGAATTTTCATGGCACTCTATCCTGCAATTAAGGTGGGACAGGAATTAATTGCCTTTAGATACTTGACTCGTGTGCACAGAGGAGAAAGGAACAAATGTCACTCTGTGGCAATAAACTGTCAATTTAATTATCTATTAATGTCCTGCAAGCTGAAAGTCTTTTGGTATTTTCTCCAAGAAAACATCTCCAAATTGTCAGCAGCCTCCCTTGCGTCCTAATTATTGTGTCACTAACTGTGTTGGTTTCATTTCTTTTTTCCACAAAATGGGTCCCTCAGCATTGGCTGATCATAGTTATCATTTTTTAATGGGCAAATTTGATGGATTTACAAAGAGTTTCCCCAAAGCCGCAGGCCATTTGGGCCTCGTGCATCAGTGCGAGGCAAATGTGAATCGAGTAATTCTGTCTCGGCCATTTGTCAACACCTCAGAGCAGGAAATGTCAGCGGCACATGACGGTGATCAAACTGGTTATGAATTTGAATTTGGCTTTTCTTTTAAGGATGATAACCGCGTGATGTTAACCATCTATTACCTTTCAATTTTA